GCATATAAAACGTAATTTACGAGACTCGCATATACGCGCATTTTAGCATGCGTATATATGTGTCCTTGTAGGACACGTATATTTGGGTATTTATTTCGCATATCCTCGCACTTGAATTTACGCAAATGTGTGGCCCTTTAAAAATGCGTATATACGTGATCTAAATGGTCGTATACATGAGCTTAAAGCTTAAACTAGTATACGCGGCAGAAAAACCCGCGTATACCCTGTCGTAATTTTGAAATGAATGGCCAACCATAGTTGGTCCAGGAAATATCCATGCCACCTCATGGAAGGTTTTTTTGTTTATTCTCTTCTCCTTCCTGAAATTCCTGTTTTATGCGATACTTTCCTTTGAAACATTTGAGACCCCCCACCCCCAGGGAATTTACAATAACCTTCCATGGGTTGTGTACAGCGGCAATGTTCTTGGACAAGTCAATTACATGTATGCCAACCTTGACCTTTTTTACATATCCTGTTATGGGAGGTTGTTTTTCCTAACTGGACCTTTCAGTGGGTGTCCTCATTCTGCTTATGAGTTTATACTGTAAATGCAGTGTTTTAGGGAGGAAGTCAGTAGGTCTATAGTTTGGTGTTATTCACAGGATGTAATGGATTTTTACAGGATTACCTTATTTTATAGATCGTTTTCACTGTCACGCAACGAAAAAATAAATCAAAAACTATTCCTTGGATAAAGTCAAGAAATTGTAATGTTATAGTAGATAGGTAAAGAAGACACTTCTTCAAGTTTTAGGTCTCTGTGTTTTCCCTAACTTCAGATATTCATTGAAATGTTTTGTGCAAATTTACAGAGCCCAGTATGGAGCTGCCATGTTGGTGGAGCTCTTCTTTGCTCCACCAACATGGCGGTCGGAAAATAGTGTAAACATCTGGAACTTACTTTGGCTATCTAGGTGACTGATTATCTGAACTGAACCAGCAAACATTTGCACCAGCACTTTTCCTAACACTTTGACTCCTAAAAAGGCTAAAAATCACTAGATAAGTGTATATTTTTTCAGAAACTCGATCAGAGCAGCATGTCACGCACTGCCATAACTCTGAACTTCATGCTGCACTGGTTTCCAAACCAAGCATACTGTTGAGGTGAAAATTTTTAAACAGATGTAAATTTAGATTCTCTCATGCCTGATAAGGACAAAAACATTCATGGCTTCTTAGTTTTGGATTTTGGAATTTGATGACATCACGTGAAAACAATCTATTTATTTTTTTTTAAGTTGAGCATTATTAACATGAGTCTGCTATGAGATCGTGCAAACACTTCCCATGGTTTTTGACTTCAAATAAGGTTACTGTTGAGTATCTGTGTGTCCTTGTATGTGAGATGTCTGGGTTAACTGTATTTTTGTTGTAAGGTGTCTCAAAAGATGTTGCACTGAACTTGCTTAGTATACAAACTACAGTAAGGTGCCATCTAAATTTCCCGTTTCTTGTTTTTTTATTAGCTATTTAGATGCACTTGACAGAATTGGAGCCCCTGGTTATGAACCAACAGAACAGGATCTCTTACGAACAAGAGTAAAAACAACAGGCATTGTTGAGGTGCAATTCGATTTCAAGAGACTTCATTTCAAGTAAGTGGCCTAAATAGTACTTATTGCTATTTCAAGAACTGTTCAGTTTAATAGTTTTGATTGACAACCAATTTCTCAAGGTGGTTTGTTATATTGCATTGTGTACCTTTAAAGAAAATGGTAACTTTTTCTTTAAAGCTTAGGAAGTTAGGGGATCATTGTTTTCTTGTAACATTTCATGGAGACCAGCTATGGAGTCTAGCAATCACCATCGTTCTATAGTTGAAATGAAAATAGAAAACATTTCTGTTGAAGAAGGATTATCATTATAAAAAATTACTGGAGATGTAAACTTGACCAGTTCTTGTGAAATAATTGTTGCCTCCAGAATACTGCATGTTTTGAAAAAGATATTGTAAGGAATTTTGGGGTCTATACAAAGACTGGTACCCTCTTTTTAAATAAACAAATAATGGGGAGAGTTTGAGTGATAGTCTATAGACCTTTCCCGCATTCCACTTCAGTGTGTACGAACAATAGCACCAGAGCGAGGTTGGGGTGGACATTTCCATACATTTGCTGTATTTTTGTCCACCCTGACCTCGACTCGGTGCTACTGTTTGTTGGAATGTGGGAATGGTCTATTGTTAGGTCTATTTGGAAAGAATTATGTTACATTAATGCATTGTCCAGTGGAGAGATGTGATCTCTAATAAAGTATTTACTAGAGAATAAAAATAAAAAGTATCAACTGAAGAATATTACCTTGATGCCAACATCACGTTCTTGTCAGTAAGGAGACTTATGAATGAATAACAGTAACTGTAGGATTATCTAATGTGTCAGCATGATTTCAGGCAGGTATGATGCATGGTTAAGAGTTGTGTGACACTTGCACTGCAAGTGCAAGAACAGTCTTCAGATTTCACACATCGATTCTATACTTTTCCTTACTATGTGTGTTTGTGAGATATTTCTTGTGTTCAGTGCAAAATATCTCAAAGGGCTCTATGTTTGAAACTTAATTTTGAATTTGTGTTCTTGCTTCTTGATTGTAGATTATTTGATGTTGGAGGACAAAGATCGGAGCGTAAAAAGTGGATTCACTGCTTTGAAGATGTCACAGCAATAATATACTGTGTTTCATTAAGTGCATACGACTTGACACTGCAAGAGGATGAAACTACAGTAAGTCATTTGTCAACCAGGGCAAATAAGTAACTTAGATCCAGTTGCTTAGATCCAGTTGCCTCCTTGATATTTCAAGATGACCACCTATAGTTTAAATATATTCTTTGTAATTCAAAAGAAAAGCACCAGCAAATTTAATATTGGGGGTGACCCTGTGGTGGACCAGCATCCCATCCAGGGGGCAGTAGAAACAGTCCTAGTCACTTCAAGCTATGGAAACTGGAGATACATGTAAGTGCCATCCTGATAGGCCACTTGGCTTGAAAGCAGATGTAATTTTGCTGGTGTTCATTTATGAATGTGGGTGGAGAGAGGCACAGTGAGAGTTACATGTATACTAAGTATTGTACCCAAAAACACAGTGCAGTGGCACTGGCCAGGTCTTGAACCTGGACCACTTGATCCAGGATCAAGTGCACTTACCATTAGGCCATTGTGTCTTCCACACACTGTACAAATCTGTGCAACTGCAGGGCTTCAAATAATGGCCAGTCAACAGACAATGTCCAGTCAAAAATAGCTTTTGTCTGGTCAAATCCTTAGATGGCTGGACAATTTGTCCAGTTGTTTACGCTGCTCAGGAAAAAATCTATAGTGTCAAGTTTTAAATATTTAAAGGTTCAATATTATTGGCGTTTGTGAAAAAGGAGAGAAAAACGGCGGATACTTAACTACCAGACCAAGAACTTTTAATAAATGATTCGTAATAGTCATAAAAGTTCCAGCTATCTTTGCAAATTTTGGCAAAAAGTGATAGTGATTTTGCTGTATCATGCGTTCCACTTTTCCTGCATTGAGATCGATGCTCANCATAGAAATGGAGAGCGAATAATCTAAAAATTGTTTTAACATAAATCTACTAGTCATTCAAAACTTTATCTAAATCCTCTTCACAGACACTTCAAAAACAAAACGAAGCGGCGATCATTTTGTTAACAAGGGCACACTGCTATGCTACTCACTTTCTATCACAGAATAGATAGTGAGTAGCGTAGCCAATCAGAGAACAGCATTTGTGATAGAACGCCAGTAGATATATATCAAAACTCAATAGAAAAACTGAACATGTTTTCTATTTCACGAATATATGTGTCTAGTATAAAATTGGCCAATAGGCTGTGTACATCCACCCCCTCCCCTGAAAACAATTGGCTAATTGGCCAATAGCAAACAAAAGGGAGGTTAAGGATTTAATGTTCATAACAAACAGTGAACTATAAAAATTAAACGTCAGCTATCTGTCTGCTAAACAAAGTTTGTGCACTGAGGCGAGAATATACATTTGGTTTGTATGGTCGATTTTTTTAAATGTATATTTTTGTTTTGAACTAATTTTTGGGGTAGAGGAAAAGACAGCAAGATCAGTGGCATGGGAGTAGACTCTAAGACTCTAAACCCTAAGTTAAAATTACTGAAATTTGAGGTCATGACTTCTGTGGCCTACAAAAAAGGTTAAGCCAGTCATCTCTCATATGGAGACTCCGTCTGAGATGGAAATTCTTCTTACTTTTCCAAATGTGTCCCATAGTGCTAGAGGGAAGAATATAGTTTTTTTAACCAAACCTGCTTTTTTTCAGAAATAGGACGCTGATCATGTTTATGGTTAAATTGGACAGGTTAATATTTATATTTTAATGGTGATCAAACTTGAAAGCATAACTCCCTATTTCTGAAATAATAATTAAAATTAAATTTAAAAAAACATTTCACAAAGAATACTTTTGGAAATAAGAAAATGATTAATGTATTTTGCTTGGTACATTGCTTGGTATACCAGGGGTCTGACAAGAAATGATTAAGATATAGATCCAAAAAATATTCATGCACCCTACAGAAGGAATTCTTGAAATGGCCACCCCCCCTCTTAGCCCCTTTCTGGATTTTCTAAAATTGACCAATAAGATATAACCTCTCCCCTCTTGAAATTCCATTTTTCCCCACACCCCTGGAAATACTTACTATTCTACCTTCAACAAAATGGGCTTCACAAACTACTTGCTATTCCAGTAAATGACTGGACTTGAGCAGTGACAGAAAGAAAACACCCGTCTGGAATAACTGAACTTGAAAAACCAAACACCTTGCCTTGTATTGCATTGCATTGCCTTGTGTTGCGTTGAACCGGCCTGCACCGGCCTGGACCGCATAAACCCCAGAGCTTACAAACCCCAGTGATAAGTTTCAAATATGCGGTAAGGAAATGTTCCAAGGTCCTGTCCTTAGTATACTTTTTTTTTNTTTTTGGGAAGGGGTGGGGACAGGACTTCCTTTTTTGGCAATTTATTCATAGTACTGGCCAGTTATTAAGTGTGTGAAATGGGTACCTTTTTATAAGTTAAGGTACGTGTTTAATTTGCCTGCCAACACAGCCCAACAGTTTCTTTAGAAACGAATACCTTATTATTTAGCCCCCTTGAGGCTCAATTACCAGTCAACCTGATTAAAGAGAGAGGTAGAAATTGAGCCTTGATCCTGTGCTGTCAAATGTCCAAAGTGCCCCAACTCCTATGGGTTTGTCACTCAAGGTTGACTTTTGGTTGTCTGCCAACAGGAATAAGACCCCTTCAAGCATTTTCAGAGTAAATGTGTTTACAGCAGTATTTGGTGAAGCATTGACTTTATTGCATTGCTTGTTAGAGTAAATGTCACTCCAGATCTTGACCCCGGGGAAGGGGGGTACTCCCAGAAAAATTGGGTGGGGGTGTGCTGCTTGCTTCCCAAAATGCTTACCCTATTTATGACCAAAATCTGTGATCTTCCCTACCCTATTTATGACCTGCCCAAAAATTCGATACCCTATTTATGACTTGACACAGTTACCGTAAACATAATTTGTGAAGGGCTTTTGTTGATTGTCATATGGTTAATGATGAAAAAGTAGCTTCTTCTAAAAAACATACCTAATTCGAGACTAGAGTACCAAAACCATACCCTATTTAAACCAAAATGGCCAAAATCGATACCCTATTTATGACCAAAATGGCTGAAAAGCCATACCCTTTGGGGCCGCACACACCTATATAGCCCATATATGAGAGTGCACCCCCCCCCCCGACCTTGACATACATACTTGGGTGGTAAATAAATATGATCAAAAGTCCTTAAAACAGTCTCAAGTTTCTGTCCCTGAAATGAACTGCCAAGCTGCCTACAACAAAAAGCAATGACACTGTCACTTAACACTATTAGAATAAATGGTACAAATAGACAACTAGGATCCTTGAAGTTCACAGGTATCAGGATTGTGTTGAAGTTACAGCGTTGTGCTCCGTTACTTTCGTTGTTGCTGTGGTGTATTTAGACACAGATGCCGCACTGGTTATTGTTCACCATGACTGATATGGGATATCAAGAATCATGATGACAGCAATATTATTGTCCAGCTGATCATTGTCTAAGCTTTCTCCATGACTGGTGATGGAGCTATGACTTCTTCTGAAACCATGAAGTCCTCCTGGAAGGCAAAAAAAAATTACACATTCATTATTGTCATCCTGAATTTAATATAGGTAGTGACAACATTTTAAGTGCAATTTGGGATACATAAATGTTGGTAAATTTTAAACAT